GGGGGGGGGGGGAATGCAGCGATTGATATATAGTTTATTTATAGTTATTTTCAAAGTTTCAGTGTACTGTCAAAAAACCTTAATTATGGTTTAATTCTAACAAATAAGTTCTTGTTAAAAACTAACCAAAAGTAAAAATATTTTGCTTGTAATTTCTGCACAGGAGAGATTTGGTGTTGTTTCCAAACAAAAGGAAATATTTCGGTATCGGCCAAAATGAGTTGAAAAATATCGGCATATCGGCAAAAATCCAATATCGTGCATCCCTATTTCTGATTATTATCAATGTTGAAAACTGCCAAATATTCTTGTGGAAACAGTGATGCATTTTATTTTTCAGGATTCTTTGATGGACAGAATGTTCAAAAGAACAGCATTTATTTGAAGTAGAATAATGTCTATATAAATGTCTATAATGTCACTTTTGATCATTTAAATGAGTCTTTGATGAATAAAAGTATTCCCAATAATCCCAAACCTTTACAAACTAGTGTGCATAAATGTAAAGATACATTGACTGTCATCAGAAAACTGAAAAAATAATAATATATATATATATACAGGTGCATCTCAATAAATTAGAATGTCGTGGAAAAGTTCATTTATTTCAGTAATTCAACTCAAATTGTGAAACTCGTGTATTAAATAAATTCAATGCACACAGACTGAAGTAGTTTAAGTCTTTGGTTGTATATATATATATAATTTTTATTTTGTTATATTACCCAGCCCTTTCTTTCAGTAGTTTACTGTTATTCTTATATGGTCTCATTATTCAGGGATGGTGCAGTAATGTCATAATGTGTGTCACTGCACAGGGTGCTCTGGCTCTGATCAGATTAGACGAGCTGTTTCTGGAAACATTTGATGTCACAGATGGTGAGTCTTTAACCTCAGCCACTTCACAAGAGTGAGTTTTGTCCAGGCGCTGATTTCTCTTTGCGTGTGTTTGCAGTTAAACCTCTGAAAGGAGATCACTTATCCAGAGCCATCGGCAGGATAGCAGGGAAAGGAGGAAAAACCAAGTTCACCATTGAGAACGTGACCAAAACCAGGATTGTGCTCGCAGACACGTGAGTGCACTCAACATACAGGACCGCTCGAGTGGAAAACCTTCGAATCTTTTATTGATGAATTGCCACTAGAAATGTAAAATGTCTCCGTGTTTAATTGGGGCTGGTGATATGATGAATATTCACAATGTATTTGTTTATTTAAAGGTTTGAAATATATTGCAATATTTTAATGCACTTTTTATTTAGCCAAAAATGTACAGGTGTCATTACATTTCACATTTTTTTTTATATTAAAAATATATAAATGCAACAGAAACGCAGAGCTACCAAGCCATAAGTTATGTTTTTTGATATATAGTGACCACGACTTTGTGACTGAATGCACAGTTGATTGTTTCATTTATATTTGTTTTTCTCTATACAGGAAGGTTCATATTTTGGGATCTTTCCAGAACATCAAAATGGCACGAACGGCGATATGCAACCTGATTCTCGGTTAGTGAAAACTAAATTTCTAATGTATGCATCTGAATGAAGAAATAACCAAAATAAGAGGAAATATTTCTGCTTCATGTAACTTTCACAGGAAGTCCTCCATCAAAGGTGTATGGCAACATTCGGGCGGTGGCGAGCCGCGCAGCCGAGAGGTTTTAACACACAGCTCACGGACTGATGCGGAAATAACCGTTTACATTATTAGTGCCGTATTGGCCTGAAGATACAGTGACTGAGCAGTGGAGCTTCACATAATAAGCACTTCATGAATGGAAATCAGACACGTATGGATCCAATAAGTCAAGTTTGACATGTTTATTTTATCAAGCAGTCCATATATCCCATAATAGTTGATTTGATGCAGCATGCAGAATAGACATCCCATAACTGACGAGCTTCATGTGCCTTCGTATGAGACACGCTTTCATTTATAAAAAGCTGCAAACCCATTTTCTTGAAGCACGAGTAACTTGTTAAATCTGCATTCACGAAACAAATGGACAAATGATGCGAGCCGAATCTGAAAAGAATATACGTCTGTTTGAATCTGATTTGGCAACTTATGCAATGCATGTCATGGTTCTTTTGATATCGGATATAGATTTCACAGTAAACCATTGGAATAGATGAACGTAATCATGCAAGGAGGAACTAGTCAAAGCAAGCCCAGCAGAAGCCTCATAGCTGGCATTATTACCGACGTATAATATCCATATGCAGAGATCAGAGATGAATTTGGTTACGCTGCTCCTGTCATGCATGCAAACATTCAGAGTTTTTGATTTGAAGCTCTAGTCTTGTTGGAACGACTATGCTCTCCATTTTACAAGCGTTTAGATGCTTTGTGTATTGATGTCATGCATGCATTCAGACGTTGATTGTAAGTGTCCAAATAGATTTTGTGATCGCCGCTCCATCTGCCATGGTCATTTAGATGGAGATATTGGTGTTAGTGAAGTAAACCAAATCATTTGTGTCTTGGTAATTATCTACTGGACTGTATAACAATATAAACATTATATCACGGTTGGTACAAAACACTTATTAAACATGGTTAAATGCTAGAATGATATAAATAGTGTAATATCACAAAGTGTAACAGAAGAAAGCCAACGTTGCTTCTTTACGTCATGCGGTCGAACAAGCTTCTGCACAGGATGGTGGCAAGCGCTTTCTGTAAGTTCTGCTTGGCACGTCATACCTACGTATACTATTATATCATATCTTAAAAAAGACGAAACCAAATAAATATAAAAAAAAAAAGACCTAAATAAATATGGACAAGCCAATACTCTTTCCTCTTGAACCGAGATGCTCTTTCAGTGTCCATAAGCCCATAAAGTGCTACACCAGGTTATCGAGCAGACTAGAGTCAGTTCGGTAACACTTACACGCTGGCTTGACAAAAAGTGGCTTAAATACTTCCATTGAAACACACAGAGAGCATTTGCTGGATATCTTGAGCAGGTTGTCAGAGATGGAGAGGAAAGCGGATCTGCTGGAGATGGACTCGCTCACACATCCACCACCATCTTCTTGTGTATATCCAGGCCTCCGACGACCTGACGACGGAAACAAGAAACGCACGAGTGCATTAACCTGTGAAAATCTCGACATAGAATAAAACAGCTTTTATTAGGCTGCTCGTGTGACCAGAGTCTTCATCTGATGTGAACTGACATGATTTAAACATTAAAATATGCACCGCACCTATAATTTAATTTCCAGTCAAAATAATAATAGACTGAATTTGCTAAAAATATACATATTTAAATATAATAAATATTTATGTTTTTGAAAGAAGTCTCTTCTGCTCACCAAGGCAGTAAAACAGTAATATTGTGAAATATAATTACAATTTAAAATAGCTGTTTTCTATGTGAATATCTGTTAAACTGTAATTTATTCCTGTGATGCGCAGCTGAATTTTCTGCATCATTACTCCAGTCTTCAGTGTCGCATGATCTTCAGAAATCATTCTGATATGCTGATTTGATACATTTATTATCATTATCAAAGTTGAAAACAGCTGTGCTGCACAATATGTTTGTGGACACTGATACATTTGATCTTTCAGGATTCTTTGAGGAATAGAAAGTTCAAAAGAACAGCATTTATTTGAAATGGAAATCTTTTGTAACATTATGAATGCCTTTACTTGCACTTTGATCATACAGTAATCCCAAACTTTTACAAACTAGTGTGCAAATATTTCTCTCATGATGAGATGGTGCATCTATAATTTAATGTCCTCTAAAAATAATAAAGTTACAAAAAAAAAGCTGTTCAACAGATAAATATCTGGGGTTTAGTTTAAAGGGTCTTACAGCACAGAACTCCTCGAAGGATATTCTCCCATCGCCGTCCTTGTCTGCGTTGATGATGGTCTTGTCCACTATCTGCTGCAGCTGAGTGTCCTTCAGATTGTTGCCCACCATCATCTTCAGCACCTGGAACAGCTCTCCGTTGGAAATGTAGCCGTCCTTGTCCATGTCATAGATCCTAAAAGCGACTGGATCCAGGAAAACAGCGAACGATGACTAAGAGTCGAATGCTGTGTGATGTGAGATCAGAGGTGAAGTGTGTTGTACTCACAGCGCAGTTTCTGCTCCTTATCGCCCTTCACACTGAACTGAGAAACGCCCTCTATGAACTCTACACACACAAAGCAACCCATCATTAACCCAGTAACTCATCAAGCACACGTGCATTTTCCTTAGTTTAGTAATGTCAAGTCACCTTTATTTATATAGCGCTTTGTCACAATACAGAGTGTTAAACAGGAAAATAGTGTGTCGATAATGCAAAAGGATAATAGTAAACACTCAACATTTTCAGTTAAAGGCAGTTCATCATTGATTCAGTATCTGTGCAATCAAGTCGACAATATTGCTGCAAATTAATGTTGTCTTTTTTTTTTTCAGTTTTAGTTCTAGTTAAAAGTTAACCTAAATTAAAATGAAAAAATGACAACTAGCTGAAATATGATGTTCAGTAACACTGCTTAAAGCCCTTATGTATAATGCAGGGTTATTAAAGGCTATAATGCATTATAATTGTTCATAATGTGTGTTGTAATACATTATATCTTGTCATAAATAATTATAACCAAATTTAAAATGCATAGTGTAATAATGAATTGGTAAGTGTTACCATGTGTTAACTGCGGTTACAATTATTCATGAGATTGTGCAATGCATTACAAGGTGCATAATTAAAGGTGCACTAAGCAATATTTGAAAAACGTGTGTCTAGCAATGATAGAGAGAAGAGAGCGCTCAGTTTGAGTGCACAGGACGGATATTAGCAGATCGACTATAGATAGAGAGAGATGGCAGATAAAAAAAAGAGGAAAATATGGGAGGAACAAGCTGAAGGGTGAAGACACCTGCAATATTTCAGTCTTTAAGCTTCTCAATTACAAACGGTCAGACGGTTTCAGAATCAGCGTGAGAGAATGTGAATGTTCTCGGTAAAACAACACAAAAGGCTTCTTTTCAGGATGTGATGCAACAAGTCTGAGCTACTTTAAGCTCATTTGTTGAAGCATTTCACAGCTGCAAATTTGAGTTTGAGTTCATGCACACATGATGTGTGTTTGCATGCAGCGCGCTCAGAGAAAACATTCAATAAAGACAAATTCTTCAATTCAATATGCAATGCATTCAAATCATTACATGGCATCACACATGAATTTCACTAAACTCATCAACACGTGTAGGCCCCATTTCACCTAACAATCAGCCTATTTTAAGAAACATTCAAATTTAGCATCATAGCATGACATTTCATGACATTATAAAATAAATATAATAGCCCCCAGATTCCCAATTATTCTTACTTAAAAAAAAAAAAAAAAACTAATTCCCTTTACAATACATAATTATTTAATTTAATATGTCATGGTATTACTTGTTGTACTGCCTTTATACTGGTTTAGATTCAATTGAAATTTAAGTCATTTTACTGTACTAATGAGAACCACCTTTAAGAATGCAGTCTATTAGAAATAGATCAAAGGTGCTTACTCATCATAAAAGTTGTCACAATGCAAATAAAAAAAAAAAATAAAATCATGGTCCTAAAACAGGCTTCATTTGCTGTCACAGAATAACGGTGATTCTGTGGTGAAATGTGACTCGCTCTTGTTATCATGAGATGCATTTAACGAAAGATTTCCGCTTTCAAATAAACAACGCGTGTGGTTTCCTCACCTTTGAAGTCCACCTCTCCGTTGCCATCCGTGTCGAATATCTCGATGACTCTCTGCACCAGTGGATTCTGCTGTAACTCGGGCAAGGACATGAACTCCTCCACGCTGAGGGATCCAGAGTTATCTAGGTCGAGTTTCTTAAACCTCTTTCCCAGCCTTTTAATCTCATCAGCATCGACTGGCGTGGACCGAGAGAAAACGCCAGACACACAATAAACACAGAAAAGGACAATATTAGCACACGTGACCAGCGCTCAGCCGTCTGTCTGAGCACAGATCCACCCAATCCAGCCTCTATCTGAGTGTCAGCCAAACAACACAACAAATAGCATCAAACGCTGGCAAATGAATGAAGCGTGACACACTCACATCCCGTGACGGGATCCTTGGCTGCCGCTGGCCTTGCGCGGGTCACCACACACAGAGGTTTGCCCATCGCACCGTACCGAAGAGCCATGCGGATCCCTAATAGCACTGCTGAGCCTTGAATATCAAACTCACTCACTGTAAGCTCTTTCAGAACAAGTCACATGACCCTCCAGTCGGCCTCCACAACTCTGAGCGGTTCAGCCGAAGCTAGCGCTCTTTACACCACTGCAAACTCTAAAACATTACTCACGTCAACATATCTGTATTTTCATACACTGCCAGTAATAATTGAGATTTTTATTGCTTTTAAAATGTCACCAAGACTGTATTTTAGGTAGGGTGACCATACGTCCTCTTTTCCCCCGGACATGTCCTCTTTTTTGGACCTAAAAAAATGCGTCCGGCCGGGATTTCTTAATCGCCCAAAATGTCCGGGATTCGGCTGTTTTCTTTATCCCGCTGAATCTCTGACCATTGCCGCCTGCTCCCGCAACATGTGTTTCACTCCCGCGATTTTCGTGTCCACTCCTTTAAACATTCTAATATTGTGTATAATTTTGGCGCTTCAGGGAGCCACTCTCAGGATGCGGAGTATTTAAATCTCTTTTGAATGAGCGTTTGCGCCGTTTACTTTCACTTTCGATTTCGCGAGCACGCACTCTGTAAAGGGAGCACATCTTACAAAATCAGATATTTGTCAGTGAGCTCAGGATCTGTTGAGCAGCAAATACTCCAGCATGGTCTTGTCAGTCATCTCTCCTTATTCTCCACCTGTGATCAGTCAAAGCTGACTCCTGCAGCTCTTGTTGGATGTAGGGTTGCCAAGTCCGTGTTTTTTTCCCACAGAATTGGGCTACTTTTAAACTGTTGCCATGGGTTGATTTTCCCTTTAAAAGGGCCTTTAACACTAGCATTCTCTGTTCTTTCTACTTGTTTTCTTTTTATTTGTTATAAATAATGAGCCTCTAACACTAGCATTCCCTATTCTTTTTCTATTATATCTACTTGTTTTCTTTTTATTTATTCTAAAAACAAACAAGCAAACAAACAAAAAAAACCATGTTACGTATACCGTGTTAGGAGAAACCCTGCCACTGTCACTTTGGTTTTTCCTTCTTTCAGTCATCTTAAAAAAAGTTTTTAAAATTAGCAGTCTTTCATGTTACATTTAATCTTCATATTACAACAATAAAAACATTTTATTTATATAAAGCATCAGCAGCAACACTAATAAGCAAAATAAATGAAGAATGTCTAATGTTTTCAAATGGAGAAAAGAAATAAAGGACAGGAGTCATCTACATTTTAAACTACAGTTTTAGTAGGTTTATAAGCTGTTTAATAGGCTAAAGAGTGAAGAATAATTCACTGGATAATATTCTCTGGAATATTGGAATATAACAAACAAAACATCGTATGTTATTGCATTTCTCAACTGGTATATCAGAATTACTAATGTTTTTGTCGTTCTAGATTATGAAATGCGTGTTGACAGTGCTGTTTATCTATGCATTTATACAGAGCTATAGGCTACTCAAACTGCGATCGCTCGCGGAGATAATAAATAATTAATTTCCATAGAGTTGTATTTATTTAGATGTGTATTAGCGAAATAATGGTTATATAGTAAATGTTAATATAATTTAGGGTGTTTTAAACAAGTGAATTTTGTTAAAAGTTACATGCGGTGGCCGAGCTGGAGCATTTTTTTTTTTGAACAGCAAAATGCAGACGCCTTCACGAGACTAATGATGAGCATAGACAACAGAGAGAGAATTAAATTCAGCGCTTTTATTTCCAACATGAGCTCATTCATGGCTGTATTTAATTCATGCAAAGTTACGTCTTTATTGGGACAGGACTTGACAGATTATTTTTAGCCGACTCCGACTTCACGTGACCAATGATGAGCAAATAGACAACAGAGAGAGAATTAAATTCAGCGCTTTTATTTCCAACATGCGCTCATTCATGGCTGTATATTATTTAATTCAGGCAAAGTTACGTCTTTATTGGGACAGGATTTGACGGATTATCTTACTTGACTCAGTGTGTTCGTCTCTATTTCTTAGAGACAAGCTGCATAAACTAGCTACATTTCAGGCATTTATGTAACACATCTAATATGTGCATTAATGGCTGTTATGAAGTTTACTAATTACAGCAAAGCAAGTACGTATACTTCACCTATGCACGCTGTTGTTGTTGTCTCGTCTCCCCTCAGACACCGTGCTGCAATGGCGATACTGCGCGCAATTCTCAAAACACCCACAAGATGGCGGCGTTTATTGGTGAATCCGATGTTACAAAACCGATAACCGATTATGGTAAAATGCTTAAATATCGGTCAATCGATATATCGGTCGATCTCTACTTTTATTTTATTTTTTTTGTACTTGCTGATACCGAGTACCAATACCTGTGTGTTCATTGCATTTGTAATTTTAAAAAATACTGGGTACCTAAACCAAAATAATATGAATGATGTTCGCTGGCTTAGTTCATTTAGCAAACAGATATTTCCTTCAGTTATTTTCACACTTAATTATTCACATTAAAATGTATTGTACAAGCTTTAGTTACTTTCACTGTTAATTTTATTGCTCTATAGTATTTAATAGCACATTAGAGCTGCTCCATTGCAGCAGTACAGTACTGTAATCACAAATTGTTTTCCTGTAATAATGCAGGGAACCACTCATAAATATTGTAACAGCGATGAAAATATTTTTTTGAAATACATGTTACATTTTTATCACCTGAAACGTGCTGCGACTTATTACAGAGCCACTCAAATAACGCAATTAACATCAAGCAAAACATGCGCAATGCGCACACATTTGCATTGGTGAGGAACGAGAGACATGTACAGACTGCTAGCTTCACTTTCACTTTAAATACATTTGTGTATGCTTGACATTTAAAGTAAATGTTTATAGTGAATGCCCCTATAATTTTTGTTTGTTTTATATTTACGATTTAGTTTTAATCCAAATGATGTGTGTGCTAAGTGAGCGAACAACAATAAAGACAATAACAGAAGTGCGCTCTCTCTCTCTCCGTCTCTATTTATCTCTTCTCACAGGAATAAATTACATTTTAACATATATTCACATAGAAAACAGCTATTTTAAATTGCAATATTTTACAATATTGCTGTTTTTTTTGTTACTGTATTTTTGATCAAATAAATTTTGAGCAAGACGTCTTTCAAAACCATACAAAAAACCTTGCTGTCCCCAAACTTCTGAGTGATAGTGTAGATGCCAGGTACATCCAAGATATTATGTGCCTTTTTAATTTGATTGCTGTTATTTCAGCGCTGATCACTTCTGATGATCAGATTCAGCTGTGAGATGATCTCATCTGTTTAAATTAGTTATTCTAGTTTAACAGACTTGTGTTGCCAGGCAACTACAGGTGTGTGGATCATGAAGACCATGATAATAACACTAATACCTGCACATCCATTAACTCTGCGCTCAGATCAGTGGCGATGATGAATCACCAGCATTAGCTCAATTGTAATTAATGCAATTACAACCACTGAGGTGACTGTGAGGACTCTGTTAAAAGTATGACAATCGCAGGAGGTCAAACTATCGATCCATTAGTACAGTGACCTTCACTGAGCGAATGATGTGAGAGAGCACATTATATGTACTGAATGCAAAACTGATGACGAGTAAAACAAAAAAAACTAAAAAAAGACATTGACATTAAATATTACAAACTAACACAACTGTCTTCATCAGGGAATACAAGACTATGGAAGCTTGTTTCCGCCACTGAATAAAAAAAAATAAAAAATAAAGTAATTGCAACTTTTTATCTCACAATTCTCTTTTTTCGCAATTCTGATCTTTTTGTTTTTAGAACTGTGAGTTATAAAGTCAGAATTGCGTGATATAAACCTGCAATTGCTGGAAGTTTTTTCTCACAATTCTGACTACTTTTCTCAGAATTGTAGGATATAAACGTACAATTGCGAGTTATAATAAAGCAATAAGCCCCGTGAAGCCGTGGTTTACAGTGAATTTATAACAGCTAAGGGGCGTTGTTAGGTACGAGGCGAAGCGTATATTCCATATACGTACTAAGGTTTCACAGAATAAAACAGCAAATAAAGTGTAATGATATTAATAAAAACAGTATTCTTCCACCAAACAATGTAGTTCCTCAGAATCAGTTGTGGTTCCAACAAAGTAGTTGCAGAGCAACACACAGAAGTAAACAACGGTGTGTTTGTAGAGTAATTTACAACAGCTTCGAACGCGGCTCAGCCAATCAGAATCAAGGACCGGAACTATCCATTTTATAAAGTCTGATTCTGAGTGAAAAAAAGAGACTATTTTCTTACAATTGCAAGTTTATATCTCACAATTCTGATTTTTTTCCCCTTTTTTTATCAGAACTGTGACTATTTCTCAGAACAGTGAGTTTATATCATACAATTGCATGGAAAAAAAGTCAGAATTGAGAGATAAATAGTTGCAATTACCTTGTTTTATTTTTTATTCAATGGTGGAAGCAGGTTTCCATACAAGACCACCGGTGTGACAGAAGCCAGTAAAACTCATTCATCCACCACATTAATTAAATCAAGCACCCACAAGTAGCAATAGTATTCATACTTTTTAATAGCCTTGTATAATGGTACTAGAAAATATGGTCTCATCCATGTTTGTGAATAATTAAACATTTCTAATTAAGTTATCCAGATGATTAGTTTGCTCCTTAAAATTAATGAATAAAATGAAAAACAACTAAATTAACTAAGCTTCTCATGAGTATTAGAAGGCTTTGCTTTGCCCAGAGGTGATATTTCATACTCGAGCTTCAATAATAACTCGGTTTCATCATCATCAGCACAGACTGCAGCTGGATGGACGCATGAATAAAGTCTGCGCGCTGGAATGTGCTGCTCACTGAGCTTCTCCTCATGTACGACGACAGCTTGTTTCAGATCCATCAACGTGACTCTCATCGCCGACGGCCAAAGCCTGACATCACCCTATTAATGACTGCTGGGCAAGACCTGAAGAGCTCTTATTTTTAGCCGTGAGCTCATAAGAAGCCCCCAAAAGCGCCCTGAGGGAAACCCCCAGCAGCACAGGACTCCAGCACATGGGCCGGGTGTATTTTGAGCGCTCACAGACAGTTTGGGATGCTTACGGCCTCTGCCACATGCTAGTATGACACACATTACTCCACATACGCTCCTGTAAGTAGGTCAATTGCATGAGCAGGCCGCCAGCTCTCAAAAATTAACTCTAATCTATCACACGATAGGATGAGATGGTGCATTGTACTACAGCAGACTTTCTTCTAGTTCTGTTGGTTTATGTATGAATCAAACAAAACTCGCCCATGGTCAAATTTTAGCTTAAAATAAAAAATGTGATAAAAAGCATAGCACCAAACACCAGGACATACAAAAAATATGCAGGCTTGTGGATCTCAATCAAACAAACAAACAAACAAATATATATATATATATACAGTGGGTACGGAAAGTATTCAGACCATTTCAATATAATAATCAACACACTTAACTTAAAAATGTATGCAAACATGTAAATTGCACATAATGGAGTTTTTAAATTAACTTCTAAATTATAAAATTTCTATTTGTTGTTGAAATGTATTCATTTACACAGTGGCTGGCATAACTTGCTTTACAACAGATTAGGGCTGCACGATTATGACAAAAATCATAATTTTCGATTATTCCCTTGAAATTGTAATTGCGATTATTAATTCCGATAATCACAATTTACATTTAATGATGTTTATACCATTGTTTGATGCAACTGCATGCCGTATTTTTATATGAAAATAAACAAGCTGAAAACACCGTGCAGCCCTACAACAGATTGATTTAAACAAATTAAATAGCCTAAATAAGACATCATTACAGAGATGTTATAGCAGGTAAAGTAAAATATAATGAGTATATAGTTTAATATTTGGCAAAGTGCTCTTGTCGAGACTTAATTTCTCAGGTGAACTAACGAGCTGTGGACACTGATGACTTGCCTGAGGTAAATGAAATGCTAAGTGACATTTTGTTTACAAGCTGTTTTATTGCCATCTTTCCACAGTTGCAACACTGATTGAGCAATTACACAAGGCATGAGATGTTCATTCATGTTTATTTCACGTTAAAACTAGCAGTAAAGAGAAATTATCACGCTCACTCGCGCTCCGCGCTGCAGTTTGAAAAGAGGCGCCTATACAGCGATCTGTTACGTCACATCAAAGAGTGCCAAAACGCCATTTATTGTTTGACTTTCCTGAAAGAATGGACAATTTAAAAGATGGGAGTTTCTTATCAAAAGTAACAATATATAAAACTGGAAGTTTTGAATGAAGTTCCACTTGTGCAGTGGTTAAAACAATGCTGTATTTGTTTGGTACATGTGCGTACCGAACCAAAAAAGCATTCGAGTCTGATGACACTTTCATGGTGCTTTTGCATCCAATCATTGTTATTGTATTAAAAAGACTAGTATGTTACAACTACAAAGAATGAGGAGTAATTATAACAGTTCTGCTATAATCTGACTGAACTGTTCCTTTAATAAAATAACAATGCAAAAAAAGTTTTTATGGAAAATACATTTTCCAAATTTTTTGTTTGATGGTAAATTGGACACGTGTTTCACCCAGAAGGTCTGCAAATGGACAGAACCATAAGCAGACATGTGTTGATGTAGTGAACAGCTGTCCTGTGTGTGTGTGTGAGCTGCATATACAGTTGAAGTCAAAAGTTTACACCCCCCTTTCAGAATCTGCAAAATGTTAATTATTTTAACCAAAATAAGAGGGATCACACAAAATGCATGGTATTGTTTATTTAGTACTGACCTGAATAAGATATTTCATATAAAAGATCCTTCCTTTCATTGCAAAAACACTTGAACGAGCTGTGTTCCACCAAGTCTCTGCCTTTCTCACACAGAACAACCTCCTCGACAGCAACAAGTCTGGTTTCAGGAGTGGACATTCAACCAAGACTGCCTTGCTCGCAGTTGTTGAAGCCCTAAGACTGGCAAGAGCGGATACCAAATCTTCAATACTTATCTTGCTGGATCTGTCCACTGCTTTTGACACGGTTAACCACCAGATCCTCCTGTCAACCCTATTGGAAAATGGCATCTCAGGAACCGCACGCCAGTGGCTTGAGTCTTACCTCTCAGATAGGTCCTTCAAGGTATCTTGGACAGGCGAGGTGTCCAAGTCACAACATCTAGCTATTGGGGTGCCTCAGGGCTCAGTTCTTGGACCACTTCTCTTCTCTGTCTACATGGCATCACTAGGTTCTGTCATTCAGAAACATGGCTTTTCATATCACTGCTATGCTGATGACACTCAACTCTACCTCTCATTCCATCCTGATGATCCGACGATAGCTGCTCGCATCTCAGCATTTCTAACAGACATTTCTTGTTGGATGACGGACCATCACCTTCAACTCAACCTTGCCAAGACAGAACTGCTTGTGGTTCCAGCAAACCCATCGTTTCATCACAATTTCATCCAGCAAGAAATGTGAAAAGATGGAGTCATTGTTGGAAAGGGTTCAAATACAAATACAAATCTTATTCAGGTCAGTACTAAATAAACAATAGCATGCATTTTATATGATCCCTCTTATTTTGGTAAAATAATTAACATTTTGCAGATTCTGAAAGGGAGGTGTAAACTTTTGACCTCAACTGCATTCCAGATCACTGAAGTTGCCAAAGCTGTTACAGGTCACACATTTGCCTGGTTTCATGACACACACACACACACACATGATCCACACAACTGTAGTTGCCTGGCAACACAAGTCTGTTAAACTAGAATAACTCATTTAAACAGGTGAGATCATTTCACAGCTTAAATTAACATCCATCCAATCCAATCAGAAGTGATCAGCATTGAAATAACAGCAATCAAATTAAAAAGGCCGTATGTGCACCAAACTTAAAACTGGACATAACATCTTGGATGTACCTGGCATCCACACACACGCACACTAACCTGTGTGTGCAGTTACCCAAGCTACCCTAATCCTAGCAGAGCTCTTCACACTATGTGGTGAAGTGAAGTAAGACTGAGAACGGGTCGAGCCCCACGGGCGCCTGATCCTCACAGCTCATTAACAGCTGCACTGGAGCTCATGTGCACAGAGCTGCTGATTCCCAGCTATGGCTCTTAGTGTCGTTCTCTGTTCCTCTCTGTCAGAGATCTGGTGACGAATGCTGTGTCATTTGCACGAGTTATCATTAATATGGCACACAATGGTAAGATTTGACAAAGACTGACTAACTCTTGAGCGTGTCAGACTCCATGGCCCTCCGCAGACGCTTCTGATCTCTGGCTTAGTTTTGCATTCGTTAAACATTCGCACACATCAGAGGGAAGCAAAACTAATTGAAAAGTTTCAGAGCTAAAAATAAGCCTCGGCATCTCTGGAGACGAGCTTTACTTCATCTATTCATATCTGTTTGACGACTAGCAAGTATGAGTGATCACGCTTCAGTCGCCATCTAGGTTTGATCAGCATTTTAGCAAATAGAAGTTTTGTATGCAAAATAGCTAGAAATGTAATGATACTTACAATGCGTGCACATTTCCAGGGGATAACTTGCCTCATTTCCCTACAAAAGAAGAAACATGAGCAACATGAACATGCAGATTCCATGAACGTTTCTTAAATGTACTACACACGACCTCTCTCATACAGACAATAGATTAGTGTGAAGGAGAGCAATATAAAAGAGCATCATATTTCAGGGAGCAAAAACACTGCCGCTCTGTTCTAGAAGATGAAATACTAAATGGCTCCACTCTCTGTATCTCCATCTGCTTTGATTTATTATTTATAAAGTCCCATTCAGAGGCCCATATTCTGTATCTGTCACAGCAGTGAGGGACAGATGAGAGCTTATTCATTCTCTGTAATGCATGAACTCCATGTACAGGTAGTATTAGTTTTAAACATTTGGAGTCTGGATTCTTTGTGTGTTTTGAGTGAACAGCAGCTGTTTGCACAGTGAATGTGTGATGTGTCAGTGTATCTGGGCCTGGTGCGCGAGCTGAAACCCACAGAGATGCCACATCTGCCGCGGGAAACCACCCCGAGTGGAAAACACTGCATTTGGGCTGGCTCCCAATGTGCGGAAAGAGCTTGATCCAGGAGGGGAATCTGCTGCCACTCCAAACATCTCTGTCCCAGTCTGTGTGACACGCAAAGCTTCATGCATTGGCCTCTTTTGGATCTATGTTAGTTAGCAAATATATATGCAAACAGGTCAAATTAATGCATGCTACTGGTCTTACCACGAATGATTCATTCATGCACATTTATTTCATTTGTTTGAGTGCATAAAATTTAATCATGATGTTAAATATTTTAGTCATTTTAACTGTACGAGAAAAAAATCAATAAATAAAATGCTGCATTACATTATGAGCATAACAGGAAATGCAAAAAGCGATCATTTTTTGGCAACTTGTCAAAAGTAAATCTAATTACTTTTCTTATTATTTCAAATATTGTTTTGGGGTGAGATTTGAACTGGAGATAAAAATCTTTCTACCAAGACAGAGTTATACTGATCCTGCAGGACTCTTTGTGATTTTGTCTTGCATCCTCAGAGCTACGAAACCGACTGTGGAAAGCAGAAGCAGTATATGCAAATGCAGAGCCGCGGTAAAATGGCATCTGAAGTGTTTTTGAAGAGTGGGACTGGGTTATTAATATCACATCCCCCGAGTCCAAAATAAACATGAATTACAGCAATGATTATTCACAGTAGACCTTACTATCCACGAGTAGATAAGAGAAAATGAAGCCTTGCAGCTCAAAAAAGAGAGAACAGACAGGAAAAGATGGCGTTTTAAATGAAATCCTGAATCATTAGTGGGCTCTTCTGAGGTGTAAATTAACACTTTAGTGGGCTGAACATTGTCTGGAAGACCTACGAGGCAAACACTCAGCACAGTTCATAAATAATGCATTCGCCATTCAGAGTCAATTAGACCGCACAGTGAACGCAAATGCTGCTCCCTGCAAAGCAAACATAAATATACACACAAACAAAACTCGCTGAAACGTCTTCAATAACAAATAGAGAGACTGACAAAGGTTTCATGGCTGGAGATGCTGCTTATAGCTGGCCATAATCATAACTGTCTGTCTTTGATGTCCATTATGCTCATGCCAATTGCATTTAATACAGTTTGAGGCCAAAGACGTGGTTTGTGATGGGGTTAGACATAATACGTTACACCTCAAACCGTACCAACGGCATTGCAATCCATTCCTGGTAATTCAAAAAACAAATTATATCCTTGAACAGACAGGTTCTGTGAGATTCTCCCTGCTTTATAAGGTTAGCATTAGGAATATATTAAAAATAGACTCTTCTCTATGTAAGAATATATTCTGATATCCACGTAGTAATAACTTAAAATATCAGCCCTGAAACTATTATTTGGTAAAATCGCAAGCATGAGTAACAAAGGGGAGAGAACTGATATGATCGTTCTTCTTCATTCTCCTACGAAAAATGACTAATGCTCACAAACTGCTGCACACTGCCTGAGAGCAGGCCTCCGCTTGACTAATGCTTGTGTGTGTGTGTGTGTGTGTGTGTGTGTGTGATACCTGGAGAAAGCCATCCGCCAGCATTCCTATTGATCTTAACTCCACACAGGAACAATACTAGCTTTACATGTCAGACAAACTCTAGAATAAACTGCTGACCTTATATGACGTCCAGTGAAAACTCTAGAAAGCCTTGACCCCTCAGGCATACTAATAATAACTCTTTAGTGCCTGAAGTAAATCTAGGGTTCTATGATTTCCATCAGAATTATTAGAATCATGGAATCCATAGAAGTTACTGTATAACGCAAAATGCCACAGATTAATCATATTGTGATATGGACTAGTGTTTGAATGTAAAGCGCAAAATAATATTCGATGAAGTCTGCAAGAAAAAGTCAATTTTTATATAATTGCATTTTAAAACATTATTCAAATAAATTGTTAGTTTTTGCTTTTATTTCACTACAACTGTTTTTAATTAATACATTTAAAAATTAAATCAGAAATCCAGGAAAATAAAAAAAAAACACACACACAAAAAAAAAACATTTGCCCCTACTGTTATACGTAAGTGAATGAATAAATTAATTTATAAATAAATAAATGTTTAAAGATTTATGAATTCAATTGATTATTAAAATTGAACGAAACCATTCAATTAAAATTGAAAAAGAATTTGAGAAATGCCAAACAGAATTTGGGGGGTAAAAATACAACAGATTTCATAGGGCCCTAAAAATGTGTTAAAGGAGACATATTATGGCCCTTTTTACAATATGTAATATAAGTCTCTGGTGTCCCCAGAATGTGTCTGT